GGCCTCGACAAGGACCTATGCTTAGATAAAATATTTAAGCATTATGAAAGCCTCAACAAGGACTATCTCGCAAGCATAGAAAAATGAACAATTAGGGTAAGAATTGCTTACAAAGGTCCTTAAGCAACTCCAAATTCCAATGATTGCTTTAAGCTCCAATGTTCACCTTTCTTGTATCAAATACCTAATTGCACATTAAATGAGAAAATAAAAATAAAAATGACTTAAAAGTAAACAATCAACAAAGAACTAATGTCTAATTCAATTCTTTAAAAACAGTTAGATCCCCGGCAACGGCGCCAAAACTATGGTGCGACCGAGCGTGTGCACAAAATAATGCACAACACTTTAGGTTTAGAAATAATGTCAAGTGGGCACCATATTTTAAAATTTATAAAACCACTAAACACTTATACTATGGAGTATGAAGTGAGCAGGGATCGTCCCAAGAGATCTAAACAATTATAGGTTTTCCAGAATTGAATTATACTTTAGTGCTTCTGTGATTGCCAAAAGGGTTTTGTTTGTGATTAAAACTAATTTTAAACTAAATGATTGCAATAAAGAAATAGAGTTTAAGAGATTGGAAAGAGACTTAGGGTGTAGGATTCACCACTAAGCACATTCCCTAACTCACTCACTTTCAACTAATTGGGGAAATAATACTATGTAATCTATATGTAGCTAACAAGAGCAATGAAAAGTGTAAACCATCAATTTCAAGCATGAATCAACTACCTAATGACAATTAAACTAAGTGTAGTGCAATTCACCCATTCAAAGCATGATTTATCAATCCAAGTTACAAATTTAACACACATTAATCTAGAAGATAATGCAATTGTGACAAAAAGTATGGAATTCAAACATAAGTATGGATGGTCTACTTACCTAATAATTGAATTGCAATTAAATTAATTAAACTTAAATTAAACTAATTAAACATGAATTTAAAACTAATTAAACAACAAATTAACCTAAACATGTAGTACCATCCATCAAATGTAAGCATTTTTCATCAATTTGAAACACAATTACAACTAAGCAATACCATGCATAGCCATCACAAGAATCAATTAACAAAGAATTCGTGTGTAAAATTTGTTTATCAATCAACCGCACACAAGACAATATGAGATTAATACAGATAATCAATTGGAAGAATTTAATTCATAATATTCAAGACTATACACTAATTACATAAATTAATCCCCAAAAAGTATGAAAAGAGAGAGAGAATAGGTTACATGCTTAGGGTTTATCCAACCATAAGTAGAAGAATCAGCCACTCATGGTTGATGGAGTCGAAGATAGGACAATCCCCATCATCTGCTTCATCTTCTCTGAACTTTTCTTCCAAACCCTAGCCTGTTCTTCTTTTTCCCTTTCTTCGCGTGTTTTTCCAGAGAGAAAATACGATACTACGATACAGAAAAAAAAAATAAAATAAAACTCTTTTTTTTTTCTCTAATAATCTTTACTTAAATAAAAACTAAAACTAACCCTAATCTAATGGCTCACTGGGCCTTAAGTAACAATCTCATTAAAGCCCAACAGTTCCCAAAATGAGCCCAAAAATTAAATAAAAACTGTAATGTTGCTAAGTCCTGGGGGATCGATCCCCCACCCTGGGGATCGATCCCCCCAGAGTTGACAAATTCCTTTAAGCCTTATTCAGCTCCATTTTTGTCCCGGGCTATTTGGTTTGCTTCTCCATCTTTGGGAACATCATCAAAGGCCCGAAATTGACCGCTTTGTGCCATTGTCTGAAAATCTTTGCTTAACTCCAAAAAGGCTTAATTGGACCGTTCTTAGCTCATTTTAACTTTATTGCCCTGAAATACACATAAACATAAATTAGGACTAAAACATAAAATTACAATAGATGCAAAGACTAAAATACCTTAGCTTAGGTGCTGAAATGTGCAACATTTAAGCACTTATCAGCTGCAGAACTGGAACAGACGCGATGAAGAAGTTCAGTAATCTTCTCATAAGACTCTTATCCTTCTTCCTTTGGTTTTGTCACCGAATATGATGGCTAAACTCACATTTTTATATAGCCAGCTATTCCCATCGCCGGCTCTGTATTGCCGACCGCCGTTCCTCTCACGGCCGAAGCCTTCCTCTCACGACCGGACACGTTCTCTCCGCAGTCGTCCTCACCACCATGCTCGCCGGACAGATCATCCTCCGTCCGTGATCCACCGACCGGCTTCATCCGCTGCAGTCGGCATAGTGCGCCGCCCCCTGTATCTTCTTCATTTGGGTTTGCAGATTATAAAAAGGGGCATTTTAGGCGACACATAAAATAGGAAGAAAGGTATTTTAGGCAACAGAAATATGAAACAGTATTTTTTCATGTGTCACCTCAGCTTTTGGGTCAAACACATTTTAAAAAAATTATTGACTTTGACTCAATGTATGGGTAAATATGGATCACTGAGTCCATTTATATATAATAATCCCTAATTTGAAAGGGAAATTACAAAAACATGGATTTGGGTGCAAAAAAATTACAAAAAAAGCTTAGCCACCTGTCAAAGAAAAAAGCTAGCTTGACAAACACTTGGAATAACCTCAATAGACACTGTAGTTACATGAGCTGTTGAAACAGAAATCAGAATGCTTGTTGTAAGGTGTATGGTATATTGCCTTTGTTTTTATTTAAAAAACGAAATAAGATAATTGTTTTTTAAAAGCATTCCCATACCTTCTACAATTAACTATTGAAAACAGGCATGTCTAACATTTAAGTGGGATTGAAAAAGGTGAAGGTTCTTGAAAAAAAAAACCTAAGTAAATGTGTGATAAAACATTTACTTTGTGATAGTGGTTTGAAAATTGCTATTAGGAAAATAGAGTTAAAAAAAGACTTAACTTTAATTAATTGTAGTTTTAGAAGTATTCTGGTACACTTGCTTAGTTCATGAATCCTAAGAGAGAGGGCGACTGAAGGGAAGGGAAATTCTGTATAAAAAATAAAAACCTAATTTACAAGTTAAAAGCTAGTTTATATATGGAATTTTTTTTTAAAAAAAAACTACTTTGGGAGGTTTTATTACTTAGAGATGGAGTCAAAGTCCATAAACACTTTTCAAATTCATAGATTTTTATCAAAATCTAATGCGGATATAGAAAAACGTTGTTCATTTGTCCAAACTATCTTTAATATCTTCAGGTATCACTTTTGTGTATCAAGTACCACTTTTGTGCAGGTACCACTTTTATGCATATAATATAAATACCACTCTTGTGATAAGAGGTACCACTTTTACGTAGGTAAGTATCATTTATATGTAGGTAAGTACCACTTTTATACATATGTACCACGCTTATGCATGTAAGTACCTCTTTTGTGCACAAATGTATTACTTTTTTGTGCTGAACATTTTGATTACTTGGTTTGCACATATATAATACCTGTGTGCACAAAAGTGATAGTCGAAAATATTAAAGATAGTTTGGGCAAATGAATAGTATTTTTCCTATGTACGTCAAATTTTTGTCAAAGTCCATAAATTTGAAAAATGTTAATTTTGACTCCATTTATATGTAATAAAATTTTCCAAAATTTATTTTGTTTATAATTTTTTATTTTTATTTTTAAAAAATTAAATTTTAGTGACCAATTAAAAAACAAAAAGCAAAACTTTTCGTGACCTTAACATCAAGAAAACTTAGAAAAAGTAAATAGGGACTTTTAATTTTTATATCCAAAATACCCCTCCTGTATAGAGATCTCATTTTCTTTCTTCGTCAATCTTCTCCGCCACCACTTTCAAATATCAAACGTCTTTAAAATAAGAAAATGGAGGTTGACAACCAATAATAGTTTGACAGGCTCTTCATCCTCCCCCTCTCTTTCTCTCTCTCTCTCTATATATATATATATATCAGGCAAGTGACGCCCACAAATATATGTGCATGAGATTGTCCACTATTTGAATGAAAAATAAATAAATAAAAAACTGATTTTGTGACGATGGAATTGACCATATAAATTATAAAAGGTATGATTTTGGATCAATCTCATATGGCCAACCAGCCAAGGAGGAACTCAAAAATTACTCCTATGTTTTATTATAACGGTTTTGCTAACCACAAGCTACTGTAAATTTACAGTCACTTGTCCTGTTAGTATAGGAATCAGATTTCATTTATGATTTGTTTAAGAATTTATAACTTATCTAGGTGTAGAAACCTATTACAACTGTAACTTCTTTTACTTTATCCAACTGGCAAGTCATGTGATTTATATCGTTCACGCGTTTGTTTATTTTTGGGTCATATATTTTATTGTTAAATAAAATCTATACCATTTAAATTTACACTTCAATTTTTATCAATCCTAAAATTTTTGTTCCAATTACAAACTTTACATAAATATAATAATACCACCAATACGACAAATTTGATTATTTACTCTATTTTTTTTTTTATATTTATAAATGGTAACTAATTCCTAAACAAATCATAAATGAAATCTGATTCCCATACTAATATGACAAGCGACTGTAAATTCACAGCCGCGCAAAGCGACTGTGGCAAGTCAAAGTAAACCAAGTCTTGTATTCCCTCCGTTCTTTATTAGTTGTCTATCTTTGATTTTATAATTTTTTTTAAGAGACATATAATTAATGTATTATTTTTTTTTTTAAATTACTAAATTATCCTTTAAACATTAAATATATATAATATCAAGTTGTAAAATTTTTAAAAAGTTAGAAGGAAAATTATGAAAAAATGGTATTTATTTTGTTTGAATTTTTAAAATGGTCATTTAATTTGGGATAATTTAATATGGAAGTAGTATATTACCTATGCCACACATATTGTCAGGAAACAAAAAGTAACAGCAGGCGTCGATTGAAGACACGTGTCGGTAGATCTTATCGTCAGTTTCGCAAACTAAAACATATAACCGTTTTTTATTCGTCTGTCTTTTACATCCCAAACAGTGTGATACTTTATCATATCTCTTTCACTTCTTCTGAAAAATTCCTTCATTCATTCTCACCACACTCTCTCTCTCCACTTGCACTTTCTCTCTCTAGATGAGACAATATCGATAGAGATGTCTCTGAGGAGATCAATCCTCTCACGAAGGACTGCAAGTCGATCCTTCACGTTCTCCAAATCATTCAAAGAAGCGAAAGCTCTAGAAATTTCAGAAGCGGAAACACGAGACGAGAAGAGTGATGTGGTGGGGGTCGAATTGGACGGTGTTGATCGAAATTTCAATGGCCGTTCGTGGTCTACTATGCTGCCGGAGCTCCTCGGAGAAATTATAAGGCGAGTCGAAGAGAGCGAAGACCGGTGGCCGATTCGTCGAAACGTCGTCGCTTGCGCTTGTGTGTGCAAAAGGTGGAGAGAAGTTACCAGAGATATCGTTAAGTCTCCACTTCACAGTGGCAAGATCACCTTCCCTTCTTGCCTTAAACAGGTCTACTTTTTTCTATCAATTTTTAAAGTTTGTAATATTATAGATCAATTCAGTGATTTATTTATTTAATTTTTGTTAGTGAAGTAATGGATCTGGCAAATTTAGGATTTTTATTGATCTGGATGGTTGTGTGAGCTTGGAAATTGAAGTTAATTGTTCGTGTCTTTTCGGGTTATCTTCTCAATTTGGTAATTTGCTTTTTGTGATTTTATAATTCTCCTCGAAGGCTCGAAGAATTGATATGTGTATATGTATATGTGTGTGTGTGAAATTGGTTTTCTTTGATGGTGAATTGAGCTAGAATGCGTTGTTTAAAACTTCATTTGTTGCTATGGAAGTAAAATTTGGTGTAGATAACCACTAGTTTCAACTTGGGAGTTATGAATGAGATCCTCACTATGAGAAACTGAAACAATGTCCAAGAAAGCTTTTTAATTTGTGTGAACATAGTAAGCCATTAAGTTCTAAAAAAAAAAATTTGATTTTGAACTGTGTTGTTGATGGTTAGGTTGGATTGGAATTGAGCTTATATATATAGTTGGTCAACTGGGAGAAACCAGTGAACAATGATCTTTCTTAGAAAATGATCAAGTCCTAGTATACTCACTGTTTTTATTTTTATTTTTTCTCTTGCAATGTTGTGCTACTGTTGACATTGTACCGCTTGGTTGGAAGATGGAAATTCGGGGATTCATTGTCCATTGTTGATTTGACTTGTTGAGTTATAGTTATGCCACTACATCACTTTTGTAGTGGAGAAGTTTTTAGGGTTGATGGTCTAACTAGTTTTATATTCTTGCAGCCGGGACCGCGTGACTCTCCGCTTCAATGTCTTATAAGACGGAACAAGAAAAACTCAACATTTTACCTTTATCTTGCTCTTACCCCATGTAAGTCAATTCGTTATTTTCTTTTGGATGTAAAGTAGAGCCACATTAAAGTGACTTCAAAACCAGCTCTTCTGCTTATAAAGTGGGTAAAATATTTTGAACTGAATGAAATACTGACATAGAACTTACTAAGAGTGTAATTAAAGGATATGCATATATAAAGCACTTGATGAATCCTCCTACCTCAACTTTTTAGCAGGGACATGCCATTGATTTTTTTTTTTTATAGCATATTTGACTTAGTCTGAAATTTGACCATCTATAGATAGACTACTTATGCAACAAAGGTGTTCTATTTACTAATCTTCCTTTAGAACGTGACTTGTTTGCAATTTTAAAGAAGAAATGTTGTTTTGGTTGCTCTTATGTTGACATATAATTATTTTGGCAGCGTTGAGTAATAGCATCCTGAAAGTAATATTTTTAGATCCTACATCCTAAAATTAATAATTTTAGATCTCCGTCGTAATTAATGTCTCTTGTCTGTGTTCATTGTATATCAGCTTATTTGCATGCTCTCTGCATAAGATATAATTCCATTTCCAGGAAACTTATTTTTAGATCCTACGTCATTATTGATGTCTCCTGTCTGTGTTTCACTTTATTGCACAGTGCATATCTGCTTATTTGCATGCTCTCCGTATAAGATATAATTCCACTTCCAGAAAACTTATGACGATCCCAACTAAAACAATATGCAACTGTTAATATATGTGAAGTTATATCCCACCCACTTCTTGTGGAATAAAAGTGTGATTTTTTTCTTGAATCTTCGTCTTATTATATTTTTGATGGATGCTATGAAAAGAAAATCTTCTGAAGGCTTTTAAGTGACAGGATATTATTTTAAAAAACTAAAAACTTACTCTACAAATACACTTCAATGAAAAAGAAGATATCAGGTTCTTTGATCAGTCAAAGCTAGAGATTTGCGGCCGACACAAACATGTTTCTCCATCAAATTTTTCGACCATGATATCATGGTTCCATGTCATCCATGATCCGGACTGCTGAAGTTTTGACTTGCATTTTGGCAGCATTTGCAGATAACGGAAAGTTTCTCTTGGCAGCACGAAGGTATAGGCATGGTGCCCATACAGAGTACATCATATCACTTGATGATCAAGATCTGTCACAAGGAAGCAATGCCTATTTTGGAAAGTTAAGGTAAGACATTCCTATTGGAGAGAGAGATTTTAGTAGAATTTGGAAAAACATGTCTTCTAGTTTCGAGGTGGATGAATTTTAGATATCAATTAATTGTACACACGTTTAAAGTTTTTATCTGAACTGAACTTACCTCTAGTTTGTGTGGATGTTGTATATGAACATCTATGTTCTTCATAGCGAAGCTATTAAGTATTTGTTGCTAATGATGAACGCTTGTATCATGACGACAGCCTTACTCGTGTGGTCTTTGTGTCTGATTCGTGGTTTATTTCTTCATCACAAGGATCTTCATTTGTTTCATTGTCTGTGTGATGTCATTCCTTGTATTTTACATTGTGAAGAATACAATGATATTGAAGACAAATACCCAAAAAAGGGAACCTAAAAATATATTGATGGTAATATATGTAGTACCGGGTGGCATGCAAAATTTCTTTCAAGAAAGTATTAGTTTAAAATTATTTTTCTTTATCAGAGATAAGGACGGTAATTTTTTTAAATTGTTATGTAATACTTTTGCCTTTTTTTCAGGGAACTTTTTTTTTTTGGGGGGGCAGGGGGGAGCAAATTAAGCACTTGATTTAGTGGTACTATGGGCATCAATTAAATCATTTGCATTGTCCTCTTTTTTGTTTAGGCCCACTATTTACCTTTTGGAATTTGTTGGAAACGGCACTTTTTAGCTTTTACAAGTATTAAGTGGTTTGGGATGTTACTGGAATAGGGAAATGCTTAAGGAAGTCTAAATATTTTGGTCATGTAAGAAATGCTTGACAATGTATTTAGGTCCTTAACTTAGAAGCATTCCAGTTCCAAAGCTGGCACTTGGTACATAAAATTCTTGGACTGTTTGTAGACTTAATAGCATCCTTATAGCAAACAACATATTTTGATTTTTTCTATAAGATTACAGGGTAGTTGAAAATGTTGGGTGGATTTAATGACTTGATAGTTTCTAAAAAAGAGGGTATATCAGGAGTTGAGGAAAGAATGGAGTTTTGAGAACCGTAGTAGTGACCCTATACTTCAGAATAATTCAGAGTATTTTTATATGAATGCTATAAAGGCAATTGTCAATTAGCTCTTTTTTCAAAGCACTTATGCCTATAATAAAACACATGGATTAAGTGTCATCTTCAATCAAATAATCTTCTTGATAATTTTGCTGCTAACTAAAACACTTGACGATATGTCTCTTGTCTAATTTAATTTCTCAATATCATCATTCCATCTTATCGTAAGTCCCATGGGGAGAAGGATCGAGACCCATCATTTGATGAGTCCCACTTAGCAGATCAAGTGTATGATATCCGCATTTGATTATTCTAGAATATCATCTCAATCATATTCCATCTAACCTTTACAGTGGTCGAATTCTCTAGAAAAGTAAATTAAAATTAAGCTCTTTTGAATCTTAATTATGATAATATTTTAAATGGGATCCATCATATGGCGAGTTTTGTTCCTTGGCTTCTTATTGATTTGATATGGGAACTCAACAAAGTTTGTATTGAAGTGTAAGGCAGGAAAGTGGATGGATGAAAAGCTGGAGTGGTTAGAAATTTTATTTTATTTTTAAAATTTTTTCAATATATATATATATATAAACCAACAACAACAACTGGAGTGATTAGTGGAATATAGCAATTCGAAGTAGAAAGAAAAGTAAATTTTTGTTAGATAGTCATTGCAAAGAAATAGTAACCATTTGGATTTACCGTATAGATCATGACTATTTTTAAGAATTTTACCCTTGAATGGGACCAACTCTTAGTCCCTATAGTACTTTAAGGTTTTAGTACACAAACACAAATGGTGATATAATCATCATCTTCCTATATGTGTTTGGCAAAAGTGCAGTGTATGAGGATAGAACTTGAAATAAATCTCTGTTTTTATAAAGATTATAGTGAGTTATTGCAAAGCAAGTAGGATCTATTCATTTTTTAAATATCGACTTATTTGAAGAATTTTTTATCCTTGAATGAAATGAACTCTTTAGTAAAATCATTTGTGTGATTTATTGCCTATGTTTTTATAGCAAAAGTGTAGTCTTTCCGGATGGTATCTATTATCCATTTAGGTTGATATAAAACAAGAATATAGATATCCAGTTTTCCCTCTATAATGAAAATGAAGTTCATCCCATTAGTAGTTGCATACTTTGAGGGTTTACCCCTCCCCCTTATTGTTGGGATACTTAATCCTCTCTTTCTCTCTTCTTCGTTTTTTTTTTAAAATTTTTTGCAGCTCGGATTTCCTTGGCACCAACTTTACAATCTATGACAGCCAACCCCCACACTGTGGTGCAAAGCCCTCGAGCAGCAAAGCCAGCCGCCGTTTTGCAAGCAAGCAAATAAGCCCCCAAGTTCCAGCAGGCAACTTTGAGGTTGGACAGGCCTCCTACAAGTTCAACCTCTTGAAATCAAGAGGCCCGAGGAGGATGGTATCTTCACTCGAGTGCCCATGCTCAGCGGAAACTGCTGCTAACACACCTCATGACAATTCTGAGATGAAGAAGCTGAAGGCTGCTGCCTCTGGATACACAGTTTTGAGGAACAAAGCTCCGAGGTGGCATGAACACTTGCAATGTTGGTGCTTGAATTTTCATGGTCGGGTGACAGTTGCATCTGTAAAAAACTTTCAACTGGTTGCAACAATGGATCAAAGCCAGCCCGGAGGAAAAGGTGACGAGGAAACAGTTCTACTCCAATTTGGTAAAGTAGGAGATGATATCTTCACCATGGATTATAGGCAGCCCTTGTCGGCATTCCAGGCATTTGCCATTTGCCTCACCAGCTTTGGTACGAAACTGGCCTGTGAGTAATATATTTCCTGTTACCTGTGTATGCAAGAAAAGAAATAGGTGCACATGGATGTTTTATTATAGGTTTTTTTATTGTCACATTTCCATGTTTGAAGCATGTGTACATTTTGTGATTGTATAATGTATGACATAACTTTACCTAAATTTATTAATAGCAAACATTCAAACTGCCAACAAGTATGGTGGTTTTCAAACTATTAACAAATTAAATGTGTAATTCATGTGTATTTTAAGATTACTGACTTGTTCAACAGTGACCAACAAACAACACGGTTTGGAAGTTCTCCCCAAAATTTATTTGTAATTTTGCATGAAGATTGATGTCTTGCATGATATACAATGAATTGCGAGAAAACATGAGGTCAAGAGAAGGAAATCAAGCCGTTCGTCAGTTACTTGTATCTAGGCACTGAACTTGAGCAGCCAAAATGCCAGCAATGATGGTGCCCAAGTACTGTAGAAATGGTCTGGTGTCGCTTGGTGCCCAGAAGAGGTGGGCGGAGCTGGCTGCATGAATTTCTAGTGTTGGGTGACAATGAAGCAAATAGACAGCCATATCACAAAATATATCCGACTGTAAGAGATAATGGTTTAAGTTGGCAAATGAAGCAATGAACATTCAGTTCCAAGTTTCATGGGTTAAGGTGTTTGATTGTGACAGAAATTTAATTTATGGTAATAATAATGGTAGTGGTTTTACGCTCTGTTTGATTAGTTGAAAAACAAATTTTATTCTCTCTTTATAGAACAAAATTGAAAATCTTGAAATGATTTTGAGATTAAAAGAAGAAAATTTCAAATTTCTAAGTAAAATTTTCATCCTTTCATTCCTGATTTGACAAGAGAATAAAGATGATTTATCTATTAATTATTATCAAATATTATTTTTGCATGACCTTTACTTTCCCTCACTCAATTGGTGTCATAACTGCCTCAACGCAGGCAGAGGCAACATAGTGCATAGGTACCCTTGCGTAGAGAAGTAAGAACGAGTAACGCCATTTAGGGAAGGGATTTCCATCCGTCATAAGCTAAGTGTGGATTCCATTCCATCCACAATATCAAAGGGATAGAAATCCCCAATCTTCCCAAAAACAAAATCCAAACCTATTTCAAGCTCATGCAACAATGTTCCCCACAGCGAACATGTCACAATTCTTACAGCCTTTGAACCCCCTGATCTTCCCTGTGATAATACATTCAAGAATAGATGAAATAGGAATCCACATTAGCCATTAAAGTCCCAATAAACCAAAGACAATTATAAACTGCAGAAGATCCACAAGTATTCACATTAAGTTGCACTTTTAACCATCTCAAAGACCAAATAGAGATTCTCAGTCAACAGAAAGACATTCATCAGCCAGTCTTACAAACACAGAGCCCGTGACAAGGGTTGGAAAAAGTTCATGTACAGCACCACTCATAAGACTCAAAAGAGAGAGATTCCACAATAATAAAAGTCAACTTTCTTCCTTGCTGTGTCGGTTTACTTCTTTCCTCGCAGTTTCACACCAAGAGCCCTCTCCAGTTTCCCGATTATCTGTTGATTTGGAATGGCTTTTCCAGATTCGTATTCTTGTATGACTTGAGGCTTCTCATTGATAATCTGTGTGAGGGCAACAATAGGGTCTTGTATAAGAAGTTCCTAATGTGCCACTGTGTGGGGTGAATGGGGTGTGGTAATGGAGGTGTGCATGTTAATGTATGTGAGTGTGTACGTGAGAAAGAGAGAGCAGAGAGACCTGAGCAAGTTGAGACTGTGTGAGTTTCTTATCCATTCGAGCTTGCATGATGCTTTTCTTCAGTTCAGTTGGCACCCTTTCATCTGTACATAAGTTTAGAAAAATATAGGTAAGGAATAAGATCACATCATCATATTAAAGTTGAAACACATCATTTGACAAACAAGTCAACAGTTGCAGCAGCACAATGTGTTTAGATATATGCAGAACTGCATTAGAAATATGTAAAACTGAAACAAACAACGATAGCGCATGCACAACCAATGCAAATTTTATCATCTTCATCAATCAAATGGCACTAACAGTGTGTTTGGAAAGAAAAAAAGAAAGAAAATGAAAGGATAAAGACTTATTTTTTAAGTAATAAGAGTAATAAAAGAAAAAATGGATGAAATGGGTAATCACTACTATTTCCACCCATTTTTGGAAGGAGATAGAATATAGTTATACTCCCTCTGTCCCAATTTAAGTGTCATGTGAGTCATGGTTCCCAAAACAGGACACTTAAATTGGGACGAAGGTAGTACAATTTTTTCCCCTCCTCATCTATAAACCTAACAAGAAATAAGATAATCCCTCCTTTTCCTTTCCTTCAAATCTTCAATACACACAAAAGTGATTTAACTATTGTTACGGTCTTAACATAGAAGGAATGGTGAAACATGATTCATGTAACCGACCCCACACAAAAGTCATCCCCATCAAAGTGTTCGACTCACAATTTTACAATAATAATAATAAACTGTAGCATTTTGTATATAAAAGCACAAGGGAATTGAGATGTAGACAGTTTATTTATTACAAAACTGAGGAGAAAAAAAGGAGTTAACATATACTCACGGGCAAGACTCTCGGTGTCTTCAGCGAGCTTCCTAGTGTTCAAAGAAGTGCTGCTAGAGGCAGCCTTGTTTGTGCCAGCAGTCGCTGCAGGAGGAAAAAAAAAAAAAGTTATAACCAATAAACATTGCAAGCAAGACCCTGAGCTATATAATTTACTGTTTCCAGCTGACACTTATAAGATGCAAGAAATATTAGAAGGTATCAAGCTCAGTAATTATAAAATAACCCCAAAAAAATGCAAACTAACGTGTGCAACATTTTCATCTTCAATAAGCTGAATGAGCATAACCAAACTTCACATGCTTTATCGCGAGCTAATCATCTTAAAAATCAAATAGACAGTTCAAGCAAACACCAGAAAAAAGATGCATATGCAGCGTTTTCCATTTCATACACTAAAACAATATTGCAATATCACTAACCATAAATATTTATTCCAACATCATTTAGCAACCACACCATGTAATTACATGATCCTTTCTTAGGACTTCCTCTTTTTCTTTCTTTCTTTATCATTAATTTTTTTTTGGTGTGGGAGGTGAGAAAATCAGAAATTAGAGGAACAATAAATTCAGAAGAGCCATAGGATATTTCAAATCCAATTTGTTCTTCTGTTATTATTTTTCTTCTAAACCAAATTAATTCTACACTAAACTTTGGCAAAAAGGAAATGAAAGGAGAGAAAATAAAATGTACACCAAGGTGAATTTAAATTACACAAACAAAATAGAGAGATGAATTAACCCTATGTTCAACAAATAAACGTCACTATCACATAGTGTGTGAGAGAGAGGAGATTAATTTTTTTGGAGGAGGATGCATAAGAATCAGAAACCCTAATTGAGGGGAAAAGGAAAGATAGAGAGAGAAATGAACATTTTTTGACAGTTTCGATGTCGGCACCAGCACGACGAGCAGCGTTGACGGCTTTCTCATCTTTCCGGGCGGCGGATGTCGGAGCCTTCTTGCGGATCACCACCGGTTCCCAGTCCTGAGTGATCGGACCAACTCCTGCCATTCTCTCTCTCTCTCTCTCTTTCTCTCTCTCTTTCTAGAAATCTCTGTCAATCGATTCAGGACCAAAGGGCTAGCTCACCCCCTTTTATATATAGATAAATATGTAGATTTAATTGGGTAGTAATTGTGAAATTTCAAAAATACCCATATGTGCAAAATGGCAAAATTAACCTTATTAACCATATAAAAATATAGCATAATAAATAAATAAATAAATAAAAGCCCTTTCAAGCCATAATTTGTTGGCCCAAAATACCCTTAATATTTTAATATTTTGATTATAAATAATTAATACTTTATAATATATATATATATATATATATATATATATATATATATATATAAAACTGAAACTAATATATATAATCAAGCTATAAGTAAATGCAGAGTGATTTTTCCAGACATATGTTAAATATTGTAATTAACATTGATAGGGAAAAATATAAACCTACCCTACCCTCGATAAGATCGATTAAATTTCATTATCAAGGATAATGAAATCAAATCTGACGTGGTTCAACAAGTAAAAATAATCCTACTATAACTGGAGGAGGTCAAAATGATTAAATCATATCCTGATAAATCTGGTAATAAATCTCCTATGATTTCGCACAAGCGGAAGATAAGGTCAACCATCGACATCAGCAGAACGATTTTGGTTCTAATCGACAGTCATAAATAAGGCATTAAGCCATTAAAGAAGATACGACGTAAAAACTATTATTAATTCCTGCCTTCTTTTTAGACTTCCGTGACTAATTTGATCGTCGGAGAGCTCTTGGCAGGTACCACACCGGTGCCGTCAAGGTTCATCGATCTTCTCCTCTCTTCCTTGCAAGAAAACGGTATCGTATCGGACTGCGCGAATTTCAGCCTCAACAGTTGGCGCCGTCTGTGGGAATCACGATTCCCTTGAATCAATTAATCGTTGGGTATATACGTTTGCAGTCCGGTATGGTTACCGAAGGAATACCGTCACAAGGATCTGGTCAAAGGGTAGAGTCAGGTGAAAACCTAGACGTCCCAAACGACCAGGCACGGCTTGCAGCGTTGGAACTACAGGTTCAAACTCTGAGTCAGGGTATGAACCAGTTGATCCAGTAAAATGCAACGCTCTTGTAACACCTTGTTCCACCGGCTTAACAAAACTTTCCAGGACAAGATCTCTCAAGTTCAAACAGAGGTAATGAAAATCTTGAAGAAAGGGATAATCATTCCCCCCAAAATGAGACTGAAGTAGAACAAAGCCAGGTGGGAACCCGACATAGAAAGGTGGTTCACCCATCTCTCCTACGGAGTTCCCGACCTCCTGAAAGCATAGCCTTCTGTCTTAAGGAAAAGACAAAGAAAGTTACCCATCTCGACTTGCAGATCAAGGATCTCAAGGGGAAAATGGAAAATGTAATGCAGGCTATGAAAGGGAAAGGTCCTGCCGCCGTAGATGACCTGGTACAAAGGACCAACTTGTCTTTCAGCCCCGCTGTTATGAAATGTCCACTATCTAGCAAGTTCAGGATGCCCTCGTTCGAAAGCTTCGATGGGACCAAAGATCCCCTCAATCACCTGGAAACTTTTCAAGCTCTTATGCATTTACACGCTGTGCCAGATGAAATCATATGTCGAGCTTTTCCCACTACACTTAAAGGATCAGCGAGAGTTTGGTTCAACAAGTTGAAGCCAGGAACCATCAACACCTTCGAAGAATTGAGTAAGCAGTTTGTGAGCCACTTCATTGCAGGTCAGAGGCATAGGAGGCCGGCTACCTACCTGTTTACCGTGGAGCAACAAAAGGAATAGTTGATTAGGGAATACATCACCCGATTCAACGCAAAGACGTTGCAGGTAAAAGAGGCGGACGACAAAGTAGCTTTAACCGCTTTCATAGGAGGACTCCAAACCTCCAGATTCTTGTTCTCCTTATCAAAAGAACCTCCCACCAGCATGATAGAGTTGCTGGTCAGAGCGCAAAAACACATCAACGCTGAAGACACCATGAGTGCACGGAAGGAAGGAGAGGACAAGAAGAGGCCAGCCCCTCTCGCCAGGGATAAAAATAATACCAAATATAAGAAATCATTCTTCAGCCAGAGTGACAGCACATATCATGAGAATGACTCAGATGAGTATATCGACTAGAAATTGTCTCGCGGCTGGAATTAGCCTTATCAAGTCATTCACAATAAAGACTGGGGGCATTTTAGTTAATCATTTTAAATGGATGGTAGCTCCATCACGTGTTAGTTTTTAATAATGATGGTCTTTAATAAAATTCCTTTTAGTTTATACGTGCAGTATCCCCGTACTATAAGGGATAGTAAATGAGTGTCCTATATTACAAGGACCCGGGCTGAATGAATCCCGTAATCCGTATCCCCGTACTGTAAGGGATAGTAAATGAGTGTCTTGTATTATAAGAACCCAGGCTGAATGAATCCTGTAATCCGTATCCCCGTACTATAAGGGAATAGTAAATGAGTGTCCTGTATTACAAGGACCCGGGTTGAATGAATCCCGTCATCCATATCCCTGGACTATAGGGGATAAGTATCTTGTATTATCAAGACCCGGGTTGAATGAACCCCGTAATCCATATCCCTGTAATATAAGGGATAATAAATGAATGTCCTGTACTATAAGGACCTGGGTTGGATGAATCATATAATTAATATCCCCTTATAATAAGGGATAGTAAATAAAAAACCTTTATTAAAGAGGTGAGCTGAGTAAAACTCGTAAAGTTCAATTCCCTTACTAAAGGGACGAGCTGAGTAAAACTCGTATAATTTATTCCCTTATAAAAAGAAGAGTACTGTTCCCTCGGGGGTGCAAAAAAAAAAAAAAAATATATATATATATATATATATATATATATATATATATATATTATTACTATTCATGAACAGTACCCGAGGGTACTGTTCCCTCGGGTGTAAAAAAAAAAAAAAAAAACTATTCAGGGAACAGTACCCGCGGGTGCCAAAAAAAACCATGAGTTACTATTCACATGAATAGTACCCGTGGGAATAGTACCCGCGGGATATTGTTCACAGGGGTATTAAAAAAAAAAAATTCCCTGAGTTACTATTTACGTGAATAGTACCCGCGGGTACTGTTCACCAGGGTTGAAAAAAAAGAAAAAAAAAAAAAAGTATTATTATTATTTATTACATTCCCAAAGCTAGACGTGCAAGCTTGGGAATGAGGGGCAATTGATAAGAAAAAATATAAACCTACCCTACCCTCGATAAAATTGATTAGATTTCATTATCAAGGATCCCGACAAATCTGGTAATAAATCTCCTATGATTTCACACAAGCGGAAGATAAGGTCAACCATTGACATCAGCGGAACGATTTTGATTCCAATCGACAGCCATAAATAGGGCATCAAGCCATTAAAGAAGGTACGACGTAAAAACTATTATTAATCCCTGCCTTCTTTTTAGACCTCCGTGACTAATTTGATAGTCGGAGAGCTCTTCGCAGGTACCACACTGGTGCCGTCAAGGTTCATCAATCTTCTCCTCTCTTCCTTGTAGGAAAACGGTATCGTATCGGACTGCGAGAATTTCAGCCTCAACAAACATTATGTAACTTTTTAAGTGTAAAATTTGTGAAATAATTAACAAACTTTGCAAAGTAAATCAATATTCATAGTAAATTAAATTGAAAATTTAATATGTTTATATAACTGAAAATTTATAAAAGGCGATCAAAACTTACATACGAGGAAGTTAGGGATGGCAACGGGGCGGGTTTGGAGCCGGTTTCCCTAAATTCCGCCCCACCCCTTTTATTTTTTGTCAAGTCCATGCCCGCCCCGAGACCCTCGACAGGTTGGATTTTCATGTTCAGCCCCGCCCCGTTGGAAAATGCTGTGCCCCCGTGCCCGCCCCGCTAACAAATTTTTTTCTCCCACTTTTTGGAACTTAAGCTCCTGCTATTTAAATGTGGAAAGCCTGGGAATGGCACAACATAAATGAAATTATGTATCCCAACAAAAATAAAAAAAATAATATGCACATAACATAATTCAGAGAATATAATAAATAAAAATAAAAGTTTAATACAACCAAATCACAAGAAGTTCTAAACTCCAACTTCCACCATAACCAAAGCAAAAGCAAATTAATACCAAGTTTATATACCGTTGGGGCGGGCATGGATACAAATTTTGTACCCGTCGCGGGTCACGGGGCGGGTAAGGGTTCAGTATACATATCTTAGGAGCGGCAATACAACCAAATCACAAGAAGTTCTAAACTCCAACTTCCACCATAACCAAAGCAAAAGCAAATTAATACCAAGTTTATATACCGTTGGGGCGGGCATGGATACAAATTTTGTACCCGTCGCGGGTCACGGGGCGGGTAAGGGTTCAGTATACATATCCTAGGAGCCCCGCCCCCGCTCCTAGGATATGTATACTGAACCCTTACCCGCCCCGTGACCCGCGACGGGTACAAAATTTGTATCCATGCCCGCCCCAACGGTATAAAAAGCATATATATATATAATACAGTTATATGCTTAGGAGGGCGGGGCTCCTAGAATATGTATACTGAACCCTTATCCGCCCCGTGACCCGTAACGGGTACAAAATTTATATCCATGCCCGCCCCAACGGTATAAAAAGTATTTCCATATCCGTTATTAATGGGGCGGGACGGGACGGAGCTCCGGCAGGGCGGTAAAAATTGACATTCCTAGAGAAAGTAATTAAAAACGATTTAAAAAAATTAAATCTAAGAGAAACATAGTATAAAATATGAAAGAATGAAAAAATAAAAGAATTTATATGGTGGATTATATCCATAAAGCATAAATGCAAGGATGATGATAATGAAGAATTGAAAATTTATAAATTCCATACATGTTCCATTAAATGTATCACAATCATTTACTTACATATAATATAACATAACGTGTGTGTATAATATATATATATATATATATATATATATATATAAGTAACCAACCCTCCACTATTGTCACCTCCATCGCCACAAGTGTAAAAATTTCGGTGAAACAAATAAATCAAATCGAATTGATCCGGACTAATTGGACGATTTGATCCAATTAGTCTAATCCTAATTCTAAAAATACGAAACTATTTATAAAACGATTCATTTATGGTTTTGAATTCTTCAGGACCAATCCAAATATAAATTAATAGTTTGCTTTAAGACTGGGATTTTCATATTATTATATATTGCATTAAACAGATAATATATTATCATCTATAGTTGTTGGAGGAGAAACTTCTCCAAATTGAACTGATGTGGACATTTGATTTTCATTAATGAAATTGTATCTTTTGCCAGGTGTTAAAAAAAAAAAAAAATCAGGGACTGATTGGGTTGATTATTGGCCTTGAGCTAATTATTAGACAGAATTATGCAAAAGCCCAGAAAACAGCAGCTTGATTTGGTTTGGTTTCATCGGGTTTACAGTCCAGGACCGTTTATTCCTCAACCGACCAAATCCAAAATTTGTGCAGCCTTAACAACGGCTTTGACTATGTTTTGATCTCCACTCTTTCCTCCAAAATCCTAATCACAACCGTACGAAGATGCGTGTCTATTGTTATCTTGATTCAATTTTGTTATTTTCATAAAATAATAAAGGTTTTATGAGTTTAACTTTCAAGAGAAGAAAAATTGTTCAGAGTAAAATAAAGTAAAAGTTGATTCGAGTCTAAAACATTAATTATTTGTTAAGGGATTAGATTTATAATTAATTACTTTCTCATTTTCAATCTTTTCAACGGAGTTTTAGCTTAAAAATTGTTTAAATTTGAAGTCAAAATTGACCACAAAATCTGAACTCAATTTTCAATGGGTAACTTTTGATCCAAGTTATTTCAGATGAATTGATGATATGCTAATTGAACAAAAAGATTTGAAAATACACAATCCAGAGTTGGATTGTCGCATGTTGTCTTTGAGAGAGACTAACTTTTCATTGCTGCTATTACAGGCTTACAGCACAGTCCTCGCAAATATGTTCCACCAATCCCCTTAATTTGTTTATTCACAGGAAAAAACAGCAATCCTTTCATCTAAATCTTCAATTAGAATTCAAACCCCATCTTCATTCAGAGACACCTGCAATTACATCAAATAATAGATATAATCTCAGTGAGGATTTCAACCAAGCAATCGCTGATCCACACAGGTGATAAAGATCATCTTACCATCCAATCCCTCTCTTCATTCGTATCCATCGCCACCACCTCCACTACTTCCTTGTCAATTCTGATTTTCATTATTTCCTTGTCACCATCAAACACTATAATATCCTTGAGATTCTTATTCATTTCATTTACAGCACTTCGAACATCCTCTACCTCAACAGGTTCCTGCGTTAGACATTTGTTTTTTTATGGTAAGAAAAGATATTTTCGAAACCATCATAAAAAAAATAATAATTCAATCAACCTTCTAATAACCCATAATCATAATTGCAGAAAGCAAAATTTATCAATTATAAATACTAGACACTAGTTCATCTCCAGAACTTGCACAATGGAGAAGTCTCTCTCAGGCACACAATTTTTTGTTAAGGAAATGAGATTTAACCTGTATCTTTTCATCTAAATCTCAAACCTTGTACTAATGTAAAATGTGCTCAAAACCAGCTGGTATGTATTTGCTCCTAGTGCCATCATTGACATAACAGGGTTATCACAACTGAGAATGATCTTGAACGTTGTAACAAGAAGGGAGAGAAACGAGTAAACAATCACATATCAAAAAGAAAAAATGTACGGAGTATGATAGTGGGTCATTATAGGAGCTAGCATTTTGAAGGCAGTTTACTATCGGCCCTGTCAATCGAGGGTGTTGTGCCTGGTTAGAAACCGAATCCTTGGCATTATTTGCTCAACGTAATTGTTTTCAAATTAAAACCTTTTTTTCTTAATTGGCAGGTCGAATTCTTACAACTACCCCAAACAATGGGTGGTGGCTCCTATAGGAGGCATTTAAAATTGAACAACAATGGCCTTGCATACTGCCAGATAATAAGCTCAATTAATAGAATCTGAATTAACTATATAGTATTCATGCCAAATAATATGGCAGGAATTTTCAATTGCCAAAAACATGACACAACTGAGTTAGACACTTAAAGAGTAATGTTTTCAAATTGTTCATTGACTAACATAGGATCTTTCAGGGGGAGAAAATTAACTAAATGTATAAGAATAGTCAAATTATCTACCATGAAACATAGTCGGTTCCATAACAATTGTTTCTTATCACACATTGTTAGCTAATCAATGAACCACTCCCTCTCTATTTCCCTCCATATCACACTCGAGACCCCCCTGTCAAAATCTTGCATATATTTTCAGGCATTACTCATCTTCGAAGAATTCTATAATGCAAAATAGTTGAGAGTTAATTAATACATATACCATTTCCAAAGTTCCAAACCCTTTTCCAGTTTCACAAATCTATGAAAAAACTAGTCCAAACGGGCAGCTTAACTGGTAAGACCTTTGGGGTACTGCTGAAGGGATACTCCCTTTAGGTCTCTAGTTCAAGTCTCGGTGAAGTTGAGGTCTGGGTGTGTTTAAATGATGGTTTGCTGCCTACTGCTGCAACCCAGAGTCTGAATTGGCTACTTGATTCTTTGTTACCAATAAAAATAAATACCATGTACAGATATTCTTAAAAGTCATTAAAAAAATAACTAACCTTACCAACACTCCAATCATCAGTAGTAACATTGGACGTGCCTAACAGAGTTCTATTGAGTAACTCTTTCTTCTGAGAAAGATCTGAAACCTCAAGCGGAATCATTTCACCATTTTTGTAGTTCTGCAAACTCGAATCTTTGTTATGCGCATCTGAATGCTCAGTACCACCATCCACATTCGCCTGTAACTTTTAAAACCAAACTATTACATAAATTTCAAATGTGATAATCACACACGTATATGTATGCAACAGCTGTAATGAATTATATATATATATATATATATATGCGCAAAAGTTGTAATGAATTTACCTGAGACTCGCAAGATTTAGGCAAAGTGTGACTGAGGGGATCGCCCAAGGACAAAACTATGGTGGGGAGCCGATGTACATCCCAACCAAGAACTTTACATATAACCTGCCCGTAAGCTCGATGTGCCCTTCTCTTCTTCGTCTTCGCTATCGTAATTGAATGCTGAACAAGCGCAACGCAGTTCTTGAACCTCTTACCAACCTTTGTTCCTATCCCACAACATACCAAACAACCAAAATCACCATTTTCGCAGTTCTTCTCGTAGTAACCTCTCAATTCATCGTCCTCCTTAAACACCTTCAAGAAAAAACTGTACTCTTCACAGTCACCGTAAGCTACATCATCTTCATCTTCCATGTCTTCGTCATTGTCATTATCACTGTCCTCATGGCTAGCGAAGAACTCTTGGGTAAGCTTCAAACCCTTTTGAAGGACTTGATTTGCAGCGAATTTGACTTGTTCTTCGGCTGAGGGTAACCGGATCGGGGTCGCGACAGTCGGGTGGGGTTTCAAATTGGGCCATGCGGACTTGGCTTCCGGATTGGTAGGTGCCGGCAACTTGCAAGGCCATTCGACGTCGGAGACTGGTGGTGGGTCGGATTCCAGAGGCTTTTTCTTGAATCTTGTGGTACCGATCCTCTTAAAATTTGTGTGATTGATGGGTTGAAGCTGGTGACTTGATGGATTGTGAATGGCAATAGGATTAGGACTAGGATTAGGATTAGGATTATGATTGGGGTTAGGGTTTCTCGGGGGTCCTTGGTGCCAGAGAGAGTGGAGGTAGATGACTTCATCTCTCAATCTTTGCTCGTATGGATCCATTGGAAGACACAGAGGATGGAGGAAAATCTAGGGTTCAGAAAGTGACCGATTGTCAAAAAAATAAATAAATAAATAAATCGTAAAACTGCTACATGGCAATGCCTTATATCTTCCCGCAAGGAGACACGTGTCCTTTTAATTTTTTTCTTCCTAAAACTATTTTCTAAATTGATTATTGAAAGGGAAAAAATATCTAAAAAATTAAACTATTTTCTAAATTCATTATTGAAAGAGAAAAAATATCTAAAAAATTAAAACCTTTGATATGCTGTTAAATAATTCAATCTTCTTTTCTATTCGTGTCTAAATAATGTATTTAATCTTGTCCAATAATTATAAAGTAGTTCTTGTAATGTATTTTCTTAATATTTTTACACCAGCATAGAAGGTCGATGATGTCACAGTAAAGATAAAAATAAAAATAGGTATACAATTGTAAATTTTGCTAAAGAAAAAACGATGGGAAAGGTCAATAAGGGTTACTTATTGGCTTTCATACAAGTACAAAGATATTAAATTGATTATTCAAAGGGATTATTTGTAAATGTGAACAAAATTAACAGGTTTTGGCAATTTGGCAGAAGAAATTCTTATTGTATTATTTTGGGAGATCAAATTTTAAATGATTTGTTGTAGAATAACTTCAGTGCTGAATGATAAATAGTAGACCCAAAAAATAATCTTCATACATAAAATATTACCATCTAATAACTTTGAATATTTATTATTTAAGTATCACCCCGTGATTTTGTCCTATTATTTAATTTTCACTCCTAATCAACCATTCCCACAAGTTTTATAATCTTTTAACTTTTGTATTTTGTATATTCCTTTAACTTTTGTATTTTAATTTTTTTTTTTTACAAAGGGTAAATTGCACCGACACCCACCTAGATTTGGGTTAAAGATAGTCATATACAATTTCGACACTTTTCAGACAATGATATCCTCCAAATTTAAGAAACTCAACAAAGACACCCAACCATAATAAAAGTACTTACTTGCTATTTGAATTTTGAATTGACTTATATAAATCATTAAATTACTCTTATAATATCTTATTAATTGACCGAAATAACCTCAAGAATAAAAAAAGCAAATAAATCCATCAGCACCCCATCACACCTACCACCAATGACGGATCTAGGAATTTTTTGAGGGGGGCGTGTCGAAGAATAAATAAATAAATAAATAATTGTAGACAAATTAAATTTTTTTTTTTTTGGAAGTAGTGTCATTTTTTAAATTTTAACTAAAACTTTAGATAATAATATAAATTAAAAAAATTTCAGTGAAGAAATAATTGAGATAAAAATTAGGGGTGCACACGGTTTGGTTTGGAAGGATTGGAAGTATTTTGGGACCAAACCATTTATAACGGTTTCATTATTTTTGGAACTAGACCGAACAATAATGTCCATGGAACCAAACCAAACCGAAATCGCAAAAAACCGGTTTAGTTCGGTTCGATTTGTCGGTTTCAGTTGATTTTTATTTTATTTTATTTTATTTTAGAGGGGGCAAAATTATAAATAAATAAATAAATAATATCAACTAACATTGATATAACACGCAAAAAACAAAAAAAAATTAAGAAGAAATAAAGGAAAGAAAATTGAGATATATTTTAAAAGGAAAATTTGAATTTTGTAAAAAAAAAATTAAGGAATTTAAAGAACAAAAGAAAAAAAGGGGGCACGTGAGAACTTTACTCGATTTAGGTTTAGGATGTGATATACATATATAAATATATATATATATATATATTATAACATAATAATGGTTCGGTCCGGGCTAGTCCGGTCCAACGTGACCCTAAATTAGGACCGGACCAAAAAATTACAGTTCAATAATTTTGGGCCCAGGACCGGACCAAAGCGTTATACAATTAGCTCAAACCGCTCAATTCAGTATGGTTCCGTTCGGTTTTTCGGTTTACCGGATTTTTTAAACACCCTAGTAAAAATGTGAAGGAGGGCAATTTAAAACATTGAGTGGGGGCATTTTTTAAAATTTAACTGACATTATAAGTAATAATATAATTTAGAAAAAATCCAGCCTCTCTAAGCCTGAATTGATTGAGTCCGTCCCTGCCCACCACCACCACTACTGTTTTAGATAGTTGCATAAAATGTTTATTAGAAGTTTATGTTTTTTCTTTTATAACATTAAACTTTGAATTGTAATGTAATATTGCAGTGATTGAATGATTTTATTATTTTAAATGATTTATTTCTTTCGCGTTTCCAAGCTAAATATGGATTCAATTTAAAATCTCCAATATTACATATGTTGTTTTTTTAAATGTAATATGTATATGATGATTTAAAATAATGTAATTACTAAGTTGTCTATATAATCAATGTTAAGGAAATGTAGATGTGAACAGGAACAATGGGACACCAATTTCTATGTGTGGCCTTACAATCGCATGTTATTAGTGATATAATGAATATGATAACTCAACTCAACAATTTTATAACCTTTACGACGCCAATTTTATAATTCTCTAACACTAATATTCTCTCTCATGGGGGTTCTCAGGTGAGCTGAGGTTCTCTGTGTGATCAGAGTGTGAATTTCTGTTGGATTTCTTGTTTTAATCAGTGTTTTGGTTTGTTGAGGGTGGGTTGTGATGTTTGTTCCTACTTATTCGTGATTCCGGTATCGCTATAATCGTGAGGGGTTCTTCTTGTGGGCATGGTGGCTTCTTCGATTTTGTGTTTTCCTGTGACTGGACTATTGGTGGCGTTCGTTGCGAGGTGTTTTCCCCTCTGCTATGTCCGGTCTGGTTGTTGGAGTTCCTTGTCGGCGAGTGAGGTGTTTTTGGGTTGTCTGGATCGAACTTTAGTGGACGTTGTGTAGGTGGGTCAAGTTATGGTGGGGTAGGTGGGGTTTGTGTCGTGGAGATCATATCCACGTGGGTATGTGGCTGACCATGTCGCTGAGATTCCGTTGTAAGGTTTGCTTATTTGTGTGTGTTCTTAATTGGTGCTACGTGGCTTTTCCCACTTCTCTTATATTCTTCTTTGTTTTACTGGTGCATGTGGGTTGTTGTATAATGTGTTTCTCAATTGTGGTTCTATCTATTAGCTATGTGGGTGGCAACATCCTTTATTTCCATGTGCGTAATTCTTATGGTTCGGATAGGATTCTTGTTACCCACGATTTGACCGCCTTCTATAGCTTTCTAGGTTATTCTTTTGGTGTGATATCTATGTAGGGTAGCATGTGTTTTTCCATAGTGGGTCAGTGCTCGATGTTATTGAATTGCAGACAGTTCCGGGCCTCTGTTTGTGGTCTTGTTTTTCCTTTGCTCTGTGTTGGGTTGATGGCAACCTCATTAATTGCTCAAATAAACGGGTTAACTCTTACGAGCATCGAGAAGTTGCCGGTTCAGTTATCGGTTGAGGACACTACTTGTAATACCCCGTAATTTTTAAAGAATGTATTTAAATTAATCTTGTGTTAGGTTAATTAATTTTATTTATTTGTGCATACTACATTATTATATTAAGTTCATTTAATTGTGCATGTAAATTAATTGTGTATGTTAAAATAGTAAATTTATTCATTTAATTATGCATGTATTATTAATAATAATTTCATTTGTTGGTTATGCTTAAATTAATCATTATTAGTTAATTAAAGTATTATATTTGTGTTATATAGTATTATGATGATATAATGTATTATTTGGTAATAATAATAATTATATTAGTTTAATAATAATAATAATAATAATAATATAATAATAATAATAATTATTATAAAAGTTTATTAATAATAATATTAGTAATAATAATAATAATATTTATAATAATAATAATAGTATTAAACCAAAGTCATGATGAAATTAGAGATTAGGATAGGATTGCATCAATGGTTATGGTTGGAATTAAAGCCATATAGGTAGGAATATGAGAAATGGGTGAGAAGTTATTATAAATTAGATATTTGTAATATTTATATTATATATTTTGTGTATAAATTAACTAGCTTGCCTTAGAAAAAAAAAATAAAAGGGAGTTAGAAGCAAAGTATAAATTCTAGTGAGCTATTTTATAAGAGTGAAAGGAAAAGAGAAAGAGAAAGAAGCTTGGACCGGTGTAGGCGATTTTACCCGACTACGCGCAGACCGGCGGATTTATTTTAAATCCAAAAAGGCAAGTTATTATCTACTTTTCCCCTTTGAATTAATAAATTAATTGTTTAGCTTAGTTTTATGCATAGAGCCAAGGTTTAGAGGTTAATAAATTATTAATTTTATTTTATTCAATTAATGGAATTTTAATTATATAGGATGGTATATATTTATTTAATGTCCTATGAAATTAATAATGGCTAAAAATAATTAAATAAGACTTTAGGGATTTTTCTAGAATTTTCTAGATTTTTCCGGGCATTTTCTGCAATTTCCGGCGACCTTCCGGCGAGTTTTCCGGTCGCCGGCAGCGGGGGAGACGACCGGAGTGATCCGGTGCAACGCGGCGCACCATAGGAGGGTGTACGCGCGCATCTTGGCCATTAGTGGAGTCTGATTGATCCGGTGCATCGCGGTCCATGATACCGCGGTACACCCGGATCTGTGGGCGTTGGATGGAGGGAAGATAGGGTGAGATGATCCGGTGTGGCGCGCATGTAGGAAGGATGATGCAGCCAACCAACCGGAGAACGCCACGTCAGCAGGAAGCCATCAACGCGCGCGTGGCAGCGCGTGCGCGCGCGTGGGACTCTCCAAACGCGCGTGGGAGCGCGTGTGCGCGCGTGGCTGACGCCAGACGCGCGTGGAGGCGCGTGGGAGAGGGGGAAAGCTTGGCGGCGCGTGTGGGGAGCTCTGGGAGGCGCGTGGGGGCGCGTGAAGGGCCTCTGCGGCTGCTGGAAAAGTCCAGAATACCCCTAGGGACTGTTTTGTCATTACCAGGACCTTCACTATACATTTTGGGGCCTCGGGTTGGCATTTTTGGAATTAACGGGACATTATATTATTATTTTATTTCTCGTTAATTATTATAATTGTCCGATTAATATTTCTAAATATTAATTGTATCAGTTAAAGTGCGAATCGCT